CCTGCTGTAAAATCAGAATTGTTTACCACAAGTGTCTGGATTCTGACTCTTATGGTCTTTCCAAACAGATAATGAAATGAACTGAAGGTGGTTGGGGGGGTGTGCAGGGTAATTTATGAAAACATACTACACCATAATTTTGCCATTTTTCTACAATAAGGATGGCAAATGATTTATGGGATAAAATGAAATATTTCTCACTGTCATTTCAATGGATCTAAGATTTACAGCTTCTTAACTTGGATAGGAAAAACTCTGTATGCATAAAAATGAATTGTAAATCAATTAATGATGGAGATGAAAAACAAAAAAAAATGATATTGAAGCAATGGTGAGAAAATCTAACTAGTAACACATAAAAGGGAAGAAGCAGAAACTATTTAAATGTCTATACAAAGGAAGGAGTTTGGACAGAGGAAAGCCCTTGCTTAAAATTCTATGAGTATAAAAAAATCACTCTGCAATTGAAGATTAAGTAAGATTATTTAGGAACCATGGTCAAAAGAAAAAAGTATTTTAAATATATATTTATAGATCTTTTTAAACCTCCCAACTCCTTGACACAGTGGAAGAAAGCTACTAGCAACCAATGAAGAAGAAAAGTGAGCCTGGTTCTATAGGAGCCACTGTACCTAGAAAATGAGCACAGGGATGCTCTGCTTAAGACACAACACAGTAGACATGAATGGCTCACAAGCTCATGTAACCAGCAGTACCACATGCCATGCTCTAATATCCAAGGCAAATTCTATGCAATCCAATCCTCCTATCTCTTTCACAGAACATGATATATTACCTAAGCCTATAGAATACATCCATCCCTAACCTCCCTAAATTCAAGAACTCCAATGTGAATTTCTTCAGTAGGGTATGCTAAACAATTAAATTCCATGTCAAATGTAGAGAAAAAAAGATGGTACTGATAATTCTGCTAAAGCAGTATTTTGCTTAGATCACGTGAATCTTATTATTCTGGACCAGGTATCAAGCAAAATATAAAGATATCTATTGATTTTTGCAAAAGGCCGCAGCCTTCTTAGCACAAGACCTGCAGGACTGTCTGGGTATCATCAAGGTTCACATACATCATGTTCTCTGCCTGTATTTTCACAAGTTAGGTAGCTAATTAGAGACCTAAAATACAAAGTATGGGAACAAAAGGCTCATCATTTCTGCCTCCTAAACAGGAATTCTCTCATTACCAGGGTGCCAGATCAATTTAAAACTTCTGTTGTTTCTTCCCTTCATAAGTCAAATGCCATCAGGTAAAATCTGACAACAGTGACAATGCACTGCTGACAAAAATTGCAAAATATTGATGCTAGTATCATATTTCCCTTTTTTAAAACCATCAATTTTATACATTTTGAAAACTGGGGGCAATAGTTTGAAAAATTTTAAAGTGCTATCAAATTTGATAAGCTGGATCAATAAAAAATGCCTTGATCTGCTATGTATTTTTTTTTTCCAGGCACTGAACAAACAGTTCATTGTTCCAAGTCTGTCTGGGAGCCACTGCTTTGGGGTATTCTATACAATTTCAAAGAACCTTCAGAAGCTCACGGATGCCTTTGAGCATGCAGACCTGGGAGGCAGCACATCTAAACCACAAATTGAGAATGTACTCCATGTACACGTGTAAATTAAAACCTACAAAATAACATGTGCATTATAAAATTTGCCCTGTGTTAAAACTGATAACAGCCTTACTGATTTACTGACAATGAAAATATATAGCATTTTTTTCTATCAGAGCATTTATCAACACTTGGCAACCCTGCACTAACTTGACATGTAAGATGATCAAAATGGATTATGTAATCTTTCCCATTCATTTCTATTGATTTTAGTTATGATAAAATTCATCAGTGTGCCTGGGAACACATAGGCAGACAGGCTTTAGTAGACCAAAAAAAAAAAAAAAAAGGAATCCAACTGAGTTGTAATAGGATGAATGTAATTTTGGAATAAGATTGCACCAATACAAAAGTCATGCCCTAAAGGCTGCAGTAACAAATTAATACAAATAATTCTGGTGTCTCATAAATTCACATCCGTCTCTGCAGATATTTCACTTTTGGAGATAAAATTATAAAATCCCAAGCTAAAAGAATGAATATGTGTCATTGAAAATATAGTTTCTGAATATATTTTCAAACTTTCTTTTAAACTTCAACAGTAATCAAAGTTATTTGTCTGACTACAAGTAACATCAAAATGCCAGCAAACGGACCATTTTAATCAGTTTTATTGATTCATGCTTTCAGTTCTTATTCAGTTAAAAACAAGGCACATTAAATACATCCTCTTATTGCTCTATAAATGCATGCAGCTCATTCTGTATATCAAAAGTAATAAATAATGGTGATAAAACACCAAGACAGTTATAAAAATGACAACCCAGCCTCAAACATAGTATTTAACAGTCCAATCTAGAACAATAACCCAACACAATACATAAAAGTGCCACATACACAAACATGCAGTGTGCATATCCACTCCACTACTGGGCTTATACTTGATATTCATTGAAAACACAGTAGGGCTTTTTTATTTCCTACAAAAAGTAGACATAATGCAACACAGTGCAAGTTATAGCATCACTGACTTCAATATGATTACATTCATATGCCAAAAATTTTTACAAATGCATAAAAAGAAAAATAAAATCCCCAATGATCCTTACAGTATTTTTAGTAAAAGAATGAAATTGTTGTACAAAACAGGAAGCTACATATTTTGAAGCAAATAAACAAACAAACAAAAAATGCCAGAAACTAAGGCACAATAGGAAGCATGCATTTAATAGTAGAAATCCTAAAGTTACAGTCAGTATAAATTGATTGAAAGCAAGAAAACAGCAGCAGGATGGATCTGAGGGAGACAACCTTGGCTTAACTAATCATCCAACATTATTACTACTGTGATGACAGAGGTGGGGGCCATTTAAAGGAACTTCAACTCTCCAGCACAGACGGGGGTTCCTTCACCTCAATCCCCCCTGAAAGACTCTAGTAATAAATCACTTGACCATAAAAGGCAATCCCTGCATACACAGCCCAACACTCCAACAGAACCAACTAGTATCATGTTTAGGCGAGAAGAAAAAAATTATTTTGTGCTTGGTATAAGTTTTAAAGGGGTTTAATCCCCTATTTCTTTATCCTTTTTTTTTTTATATCAGGTAAAATGACTATACAGGTTTAATGAAAAATTTACACAAAAATGCTGGGGTGTTCTATCCACAGTAATGGCTTTAAATCAGTTCATTTCCAAAACGAGTCTGTGGGATTGGTGAAGGAGCGAATGCTTTTTAGAATTAGCAGATTTTAAGCAAAAGCAGATATGTTCAAGTGAAGAAAAGTACACTTTTCTTTGTCCTTAAAGGAACTTCATTCACAGCAAAGCGTGCACAAACGAGGCCTGTTTAACAAACACAGATCTGCCAGAGCCAGTCATTCTAAGCCTGTCCCTACTGTAACAGAATCAGGGAGGATACAAGTCATCGTTATCTTGATCTAACTAGAAAAAGAGAGAGAAAGAGAGAAAGAACAAATGTACAATATTGTGATATATCATCTGGAGTGATAAAGGACAGCTTTTATGCCTATTTAGTAACACTGGGTTCTAAACAGTGAAATTTATTGTGTCGATAAAAAAACATTCCAGTTGCAAAACCATAAGCTTCCATTTATTTTCTCTTTTAGAGAAAAAAATCCAGTGTAAAGAATTCACACTTTGAAAGAAAATAAAATTCACAGTGACACCTGGGAGCATCACTCACTCTGTTTTAGGTTTTCCTTTAGGAAGTGGTTAAGATCTAAACTTCATGTTAAAATAAAATGAGTGAAGATGCTGTCTCTCCCTGCGACTGATGTTCGTTTCAGAGGGTGTGGGTGGAGGCTCAGGTGAGTGAACCTCCCAGTTCATATTATGATATACAGGCTCATAACCCACATGAATGAGGCATAGAGATATTCTATAATGTTGACATAAATGGAAATAATAACACAAAAGTGTTTTATGTACCAGTTCAAGAAACTATGACCTCAAGTCCAGGCAATGACAGCCTGTGGTGAAATAATAGGAAATACATTTCCTATTACACTCAAAACCTGATCTTAAAAAAAAATCAAAAGAGGAAGCTCAATTAATACTGATGACTAGTTAAAAATGCCAACAAAACTATAGCAAAAGCATCCAAACTGGCATTTTTCATTTAGTGCATTATTTGTTATATTCATTGCACACTGATTTTTGTTTTTGCTGTGTATATGTGTGCATTTGGTATGGTTTTCATTTTGTTTTTATCATTTTTGGTAAACTGATAATTTTTTCATTGAGTGCAGAAACAAAAGGATTTTAAACAAGATTGACCTTGGATACTGAAGTGTATTGCCTTATTTTACATATAATTATATTAACTAATGATTATTTATCCTCTTACTATGGATTGCAGATACCCATTAGAAAAAAAGTCCAGGTTTGACAATATCCCCTATTTCAAAATTTAGGATTTGGGGATTGAAACTAGTGTTCTATATGAATTTATAAAGAAACATCTTTAACCATTAAATGTATTACTACGATAAAGATTGGAGAGATTTGGTCCCATACCATTACATACAATTTGCCACTTACATGCTGGTTTTAAAGTTAAAACAAAACAAAAAACAAGGATCTTCCTGGCACCCATAATAGTCAGAGAAAACCAGCAGTGACTAGGTAGAAAAAATGAACTGCTGAGATGAAACTATCACTATAACTCCCAGCAAATGTCAATGCTATCCTTATCTTACACCTGCAATTCCAGCACCTTTCATAGTTTCTCTTAACCAGATCTAAACTTTTTTTTCCCTCTCCAGTTTTGCCAATTGTGCTTGAGATATAATATTGTGTAGCATTGTTTGGAAGAGAAAGGTAGTCAGACTGGAGGAGGAGGAGTTGAGAAGTCTCCATAAATACCATCATTTGAACAGGTCACTCTCTTTAAGAACAAAAATGCTATCCACAAGCTTAAGGTCCACAGCTTTGTGTGTGTCACAAATTTTTTCCAGCTTCTCTTTTCCATTTCTACCTCTAGAACTGCTGTAAAATAAATTAATAAACAAAAAAGGAGAGTGTTATGCCTAACAGATCACAAAATGAGTGCAAAACATTAATCAATGTGCATTGAAAATGAGAAAATACACTTTTTAGAAGTTAGATTGAATGGCAGATGCAAATAAAATATTGGCAAATTAAGTTGGCAAATAGACCAGCATTCTGAAGTTTTGGAATGTTTTCCAGTGTTAAAAAAGGCAACTATCACAGCCATTGTTTTATAATGGTTGAAGTCATCTCTGGCTGTTACATGGTGATTTGTTGCTCTTATGTTTGTAGGCTGTAGATTTACAAAACAAAATAAAAAACAAGGATCTCACAATCCTCCACAGCTACGGTCCACCGGAATCGGAACTCGTCGCTCCAGGTTCTCTTCTGCCGTTTTCATTAGTATAGCAAGGCGGCTTCCTGACACCCTTCCTTTCTGAATAGCACTCATAAGCTTAAAGAGAAAATACGCAACAGATTCAGAAGGCAGGCCAGACAATTCCTCTCAGCATTTTAATGGTTACCATTGGGCAGGCAGAGGTAACTAAGTGCTCCATCAAAAGCCATAGCAAGTACTACAGCTCAGACAAGAGCACAATTTTTGAACACTTCAAAAAGAGAAGGGGCAGGTATTTCACCACTGCTGCAAAAACAACATCTACTTAGAAAATCAGCCTCCCTTTAAAAGCAGATTTAATGTGTACTTTTTGTCCCTTAATGTGTTCTGGGCATACTTTTTTTAAAAAAAGCAACTTCAAATATTGGATCTTTAATTCCATTTAAAAATCTTAAAAAGAAATCTCAGGGATTGAGCAAAGACAATGCATGACCTGTATTTAACTATCCTTTTTTTAGTGTTACTGTACTTGACAACTTCAAGTCCCCTAAATCCAAATTCCTTAAAGACTTTTAAAGTAATTTACATTTAAGTCCTTGGGAGTAGACCCAGAGATCTACCCTAAGAATTAAAAGCACTCCACAGCCCAGATTTTACCTAATTCATTTTTATCCAATGGATAAAATCAGAATTAGTCTTGAAATTACATGCAGTCAGCGGGCAAAGGCCTTTAATCGGGAAAGCACCTTGCAATTATGAGCATGTGGATTTTTTTTTCCATTTCACATTGATGTGGTTTTAACTATTTGCCTTTCTTGATCTCATTTCTCCAGTCTTTTTTATTTATTTACTTTAAAAAGAACAGAGGTAGCCATTCATCAGAAAAAAAAATATGTATAAAAATTCTTAAAATATGTTTAGGATTATGGCTTTTAGCCTATAAAGATACATTTCTTAAAATCAGCTCTGCATACGAGTCAGAGGCATCTGCCAAGGGGCTGGATCAGAATTTCATGACCTTATTAAAAGCTGTTTCACAAGTGATTGCTTATTAGAGATGGACTCCTACATGCAGAAGTGTCATTAAAGCCCAAACCTGGAAATAAAGTCATGTAACCAGGCAGTATCTATAGTGACCCTTCTGTGAAGATGATTAAAAAACTATATCTATATTCAAAAATAAATGTCTATGGGATGAATGTGGGCCCTTAATCTTCAGAAAAGGAAAATGTTCTATTAAAACAAACAAACAAATCTGAAAACACACTTTACATCTGGGGAATAATAATGTAATAATATAAGAAATGCTGACCTCTAAAGACAGAACAATTATTGTTTATTGTTTTGTCTCTGATTCCAGGAAGACCTTCAAAGTTTAGCAGAACTAACAAAACTGACAGAGCAAGAGTTTCTTCCAGCCATAAATAGTATAGCATGCACCAACCTCAAAAACTTAAGGGTTTCTTTAAATGTCACTTGTTTCTAAAAATCATAAGAAAAAATTCATATTTGGGTGTGAATACATTTCATGAGATATATGATCAGCATTTTAAAGTTGAATACTATACTGTATATTTGTACTAACTGGAAGCATGAATAGCCTCTTTCATTTAGAATTGGACAAGAAATAATTATTAAATTCTACAAGAAAACCTGCAGGTGGTTTAAATTATTTTCTGGGTTTTAACTCTCTTCGTTCAAGAAAATTACTTAAAACCCAAACCATATAGCATATCCATAAAATTATATTCTTATTATTTCAAAAACCCCAGGTTTTTCAACCCCAAATGCTGTTGTTTATTTACAATACATATGAAATGAAGCATAAGTTATTTCTTTGAAGACAAGTTTTCTAAAATTCTGAGACAAACAATAAAACATTCTCCAGGAAAACTAAATGCATCAAATGGTTTCCAATTCCCAAGCATAAATTTTAAATTCAATTTAAAATATGCATTTAGTTCAACAGTAAGCTAAACATTCTTTTTTGTAATGCCGGACACAACCTGTGAAAATTTTCTGCATTTAGATTCAACAATGCTCTTATCTGCAGCTCATCTCCAGAGAGACAATTACCATTTCCTTTGCCTTGATCTTGTTTGTTTAACTTGACACAGTGAAGAAAGGGCTGACACTGACCAAAATCCCCAGCATTAATTTATTTCATGTTCAGCATTCATCATTGCCATGCTGCAAGCAGGACCTGGCATTCATTTGAAATACCTGCCCAACAAGCACCACAGACAAAACCTAGCTGCTTGGAAACCAATACATCCTTCACATAATCAGAGTTATATGGACAGCTAAAAACGTGGGGTCGGGGGAGAGGCTGTTGAATTTCTTTCTGTAAGGAACTTCTACGGAATAACGTATAGCATCCAGTTTAAAGTTAAAGCAATAAAATTAATTTCCTTGATGGTTACAAAAATTAAACAATCAAAACTTAAATGAGTTGAAAATCAGAAATGGAAATGCTTAAATTGTACATAGTCTTGACCCCTTTTGGCTTTTTTGGTTCTTTATAATGCAATAATCTAATCATCACATTCCCAAGTGAATATGGTTCTTAAATAAATACAGCTATCATTTTTAAACTTCTTCTATAAAAAAATTCTTTCCACATTAGAAATATTTTGCTGCCTCTCTTGACGAAGGTAGAACATGGTCCAGCAGTGACATTGCATACCACACTTCTCTAAAACGCAAGCTTCTTATTCAATCCTCTAGGCCATAATTAACTTAAATTTCACCTAAACTGTCCAGTGTAACAGAAGGTTTCTTATGAAAAGAAAAAAAAATATGCTCCAAGAAGAGTCTCATCTGTGGGCAAACATCAACCTTTGTTGGCTTCAAGCTTTCTTCCTTCTCAGAATGAAGTGACAAATGTGTGGATTTAAGAATTTATTCTTCAACATCCATTTAAGATAATGACAGCCAGAAGATAAAAGCAAATACATCTGTTTCCTTTCACCACAACTCACCTGTAAAAATTCATTGAGTTCAACCTGTCCGTTTTTGTTTAAATCTACTTCATTCAGAATCTCATGTAGTGTATTTTCATCCATTTGCACATTGATACTCTAAGGAAAAAGAAAAGCACAGAATAATGAAGTTTAATTAAAAATTATTCATATCCTCTTTCTAATCTGGCAAGCTTTCAAAATAAAAATAAAAATATTACTTGTAGAAAACACTAGATGAGAAAAAAATTGTCTCATATCATCTTTTATTCTTCTGCTATCTAAGATTGATATTGAATAATAACAAAAAGTTACCTCTAATACACGCTGAACATCAACAATGGTAATAAAGCCTTTTTGGTCTGCATCAAACTTATGAAATCTCTTCTTGTACCTGGAACACAACATGGGATAATGGGAAAATATACTTACACAGGAAAAGAATAAAAAGAAAAGATAGAAGCTTATTAGAAGTACCTGTCAATGTCTGAAGGCAATAGGCTAATTTCAGAGCGATCTGTTAACTGTTCAGATCGGGATTTATAGCCCATTTCATAATATAGGAACTTCTTGGCTGTTTCAAGTTCTTCCTAAAAGAGACACACAATGTTCAAAGAGTTACAGAAAGAATTATTGATTTTTTTATCCTTTCCTCGTTCAGTCTTCAGATAGGAAGTTGATCCTCACTTACCTGACTGTATACTTCTTTTCTTTCTTCCATTTATATTGAAGTATAATTCATATTCAATAAAACATACCTTTTAGATATGCAATTTGATATACACTCTAACATAATCAAGATACAGAACATTTCTACTGCCCTGTAAAATTTCCTCATGTTCATTTGCAATTGATTCCTTCCCCTGACCTCGGGCCCTAGGCATCTCCTGATCTGCTTATGGTCAGACTTTGTCTTTTCTGGAACTTCATATAGAACATAGTCTTCTGTGTTTATACTATGCTCTCACATAGTATAATGATTCATATTGCTACATGCAATTTGCTTTTTTCTCTGTTTTTTCTTTTTTTAATTTAAGAGTATTCTTGCATAGAATTGACCAGCAAATGCTACTGGACCAGATTTGTGTAATTTGGTAAAAAAAAAAAAAAAAAACAATTAAAAGTGAAGATCTGAACTACTACTAGTACTACTACTACTGCTACTACTACTACAGTAAGGCTGCCAGTGCCCAGGCAGATATCCTGAGATTAGATATGTCAAAATGATATGGCCTTCATTCTGATAGTTTCAGACTCAAGAAGAAATGCTATCCTTAGTAGTTATACTGTTTCAATGTCCCCAATCTTAACTGATACTGCATTACTGTGAAAATACCATCACTAATGCTTCCTCTCCAACAACAACCTTTTCTTAAATTCTTTTTTCCTTCATGGTATCCACCCTTTCATTGCACTTGTCTTCCATGTAATTTGATAAAAAAACAAACAATTAAAAGTGAAGATCTGAACTACTACTACTACTACTGCTGCTACTACAACAACAGTAAGGCTGCCAGTGCCCAGGCAGCCTTACTGTAGTAGTAATTTGGTGTTTAAATTTGGTGTTTATCAGCTGGCTTGGTCCAGAGACATTTTACTTACTTCTTCACTCAATGAACCTTTTTCTCCTCTTTGGAATCAACTTTGAAAAGGTGTTGTTTTTTTGTTTTTTTTTTAAAGACTAATCTACTTAGGCAATCTTCACTTTAAAGTTTCTCAATGAAAAAATGTATCTCCTGTCTGAATGGTATAAACTCTTACCAAATCCTACCGGAAAACATGTCCCAAAATATGTCCTAAGCAATACTAACCCCCTTCCTGCTCATCCCACTCATAAAGTGAGAGTTGGATCTGATTACAAATAAATTCTCTTTTGGAAATTGACACTCCACATAAGCATTGTAAAAATTCCAATAATCTAAATTAAATGAAACACTTTCCATTATTTATTTAACTCAGAATTTCCCAAATTCTTTTGTTCTTGCAGTCATCTTTTCATATTTATTCATTTATATCCCATGGTCACAATTTGGCAATGTTGCTTTATCTAAATGTCCCTGCTGACTCCTCTATCAATCCCAAACTCACCAGAGAAGGCCTTGCACCCCTAGTCAGCTCTTCTAGTAGGTTGGGTTTTGGTCTTGAGCAACAGTAAATCTAAATATTTCTCTAAATGTTGAAAATATCACACATATTTTTGACATATATGTGTGTTGTACCTACCTCATTAGATTTCAAGATACTTGAAACTACGAGCTATTTATTATTACCCTAAAATATTTGGTACAATGTTCAGCATACAAGTCACTCACTAAGTATTGAATGGTAAAAACAACCACAATTCATCTACAGAGAGTTATTTATCACCTTGTTCCTCTTTCACTTGTGCAGGTTAAATAATCCCAATGCTTTTAACCTTTTCTCGGAAGTCCAACTTTCTAACCTTTTCTTTTTTTCTTTTTTTTTTCCTCCTTTGTTCTCTCTAGACTACACACAATTCTCATGAATACTCCTATGTCTCAGATACTAAATTATATCTTTTAGGTCTTTTATTTTTGTTACTTTCTTAGGGGGGAAAGAAGAGCATTTCTAGGCATATGATTTGGCTCATAAAATTTGAAATGAAGTTAAATGTAGTTCCCCAGGAAGGCCAAAGACAACCAGTTTACAGAATTTTCCTCCTCCTTCCTACATCCTACCACCTGAATTCCTAGAACTAAATATGTTCTTGCATATTTAAATCACTACAGCCGTAAGTTTTATAAGAACACATAAGAGTAAGTTTCACAAAAGTAAGCAGCACAAGAGTAAGTTTCATTCTTGTTTTGACTCTTTATAGAGCCTTAGCTGTTCAAACAACACACAAAATTGGAAGAGGTGTACACCAATTTGGCTAAAGCAGAGGTAACAGGGCATAGTAGGGAAAGCTTAGGTTGGGATCAGAGTACCAGGTTTCAGTCCCATTTCCACAGCTTACTGCTTGTGTGAACTCTGACAGGCATTTGCTCTGTGAGCCTGTTTCCTCAACCATAAAATGGGGTTACAGGTTTTCCCGCAGAGCAGCATGGTCAGGACTGAGGCATTGTTTCACTAGTGACTTCTGTCATCCGAACACTACAGCACATTACATTAAAATCACTATAAGGATTTTTTAAAAAATATTGGGCCATGTTCTCACCTATGAAAACTTTGAGTTTGATGGTCTGATGGCAAACCTTGAAATCTGCCCCCCCTCCCCATTTCCCTAGTGACTCTGATTTGTAACCATGTTTGACAATCTACACTTAAAGGACAGGACACATACCCTATCCTTACTTGCACACTCAGCATATGACATAGGTGCTAATTATATCCATTTGAGAATATAGCAAGAAAGTGTCTGTCTCTGAGCCTGGAATTGGGCCCTACCAGACCCCAAAACGACTAGTGCCTTCCTAACACTTATCCATGGTATTTCTCTTATAGAATCCCAAACAGATTAAGTTATCCTCTGGGTCACAACTCCCTTTCAGTCTTTTCACACACCCTCAAATTCGCTAGCTATTACTTTCTCTCCTTCTACTGGATTTTTCCTTGTCTCTCCAACCCCTCAACTTTAGAATGCTCCAGGGCTCAGTCTTTGGGCCACTTTCATCATCTAACTACACTAACTCCCTCCATGGTCCTATCAAATGGCTTAAAAACTAATTTAAATTTATATCTTCAATTCTGCTCTCCCTCTAAATTTCAAACTGACATATCCAATGACATGGATTTTGTTTTAATAGAATCACCAAAGTTATTAAAGCAGAGAGACCAGTTTGGGGGAGGGAAGAAACTACAATAATTCATCTGAGAGATGCCAGGACTTGAATCAGGGTGACAGCAGTCGAATGTGTTAAGAAAGGGTGAAACTGAACCACTATTTGAAGATAACAAATATGATAATAATGTTTGCTGATGGATTTAGAGAGTGCGAGAGAATACACAGAGTATGATATTAAGATTAAAGACTAAGCAACTGAAGGTAGAAGGGCTATTCATGATATGGAGAGATCTGTGGAAGCAGGATGTGGAGAAGGCAGAAGGTGAGCCAAGAGAACTGGCCTCCCAGAATGTAAGAAAATCATTCAAGAAGGAGGGAAAAATAAACTGTGTCAAATGCTTTTAATTGGTGAAGTCAAATGAGGACCAAGAGTGGATAAGTATGTTCAGCAATGTGGAAGATACTGCTGAGCTTGGCCAGGGTTGATACAGCAAAGTGGTGAGGACAAAGCCTAAAGGAAATGGATTCAAGTGAGACAAGGGGAAGGATACTGAGGCCAGTGAGTATAGAAGGTAATTTTTGATATGCCTGGGCATATCACAAAAGTGTGGGTTAATTTAAAAACACAAAGATCTTCTTTTTATTATAGCAAGCCCACTTACACACATCCATACACATGCACACATACGTGTGTATAAAAACATGAATCTGAGCATCACTGGCTTTTTAGAACGTGGATGTAAACACAAACTCTCAAATGACACAAATGATAAGCACTTAGTCATCAGGCAGTGAGACTGCTATTTCTAACCACATGAAAATTAGCAGGAGTAGGAATTTCACTGAATACATCCTGAGAGTAGTTTCAATGAAAACTAGAAAAGGTTCTATTCCACAATCTTCAAATCTTTCCTTTCCAGAAAATATGAGCATAAAATAAAGGGGATTCTCTATATTTTTCATAAACAACAAAATTTGGTTTTAGACTATCTTTCCATTTTCCATATATTCACATATACAAATTGGCTGGAAATCGAAGATCACCATCAAAAATTATGCTATCCTCTCCAAACAGATTAAGCTGTCACAGGTTTTTAAGGGGAACAGAAGTTTTCAACGTTGATAGAATACCTCTTTCTTATGGTCATCCCAGTTCAGTTCTCGACCCATCAGTTCAACAATCCTGGGTAGGGCTTCCTCTGCGGCCTGGACATTGAGAAAGGCCAGGCGAGTGCGCCGTGAAATCATATCCACCGCCGTGCAGGCATACTCCTTAATCCCATATTTCACCTGCATTCAGGAAAAAGTATAGTTAGGCATTTCTTTATAAAAGAGTAAAGTTTCACTTAAAAAAATTTGTGCTTTGAAAGGTAACCCTTTTTCCTACACTCTGGTTTCTCCAGGAATCATGAGACTAATGGTGATTCGACACAAGTCCTCCATCTGGCTGCCAAAGGAGGTTTGGAAAATGGGATAAATTGGACAAGAGTTAATGCCTTCGTTGTGAACAGAACCTAGCATAAACATGCAAATTGCATCACTACTCATTAACCATCCACAGTAATCACTTACTTCTCTTTGCCTATACATTATGGGGAAGTTAATTTACATAGCTGAATAGGCAAAGGATAAGCATTAGGAAAGTTATGGTCTCGTCTCTCTAGGCTGCAAAGTTTTCTGTCTTAGACTAACCAGATGGCAGAAGCCTTGAATTCAATCAAGTGCATGCTTACTGGACACCAGTGTCTCAAGGCAGTGAATTAGGAATAAAAATAAAGCATGGTCTCTGCTTTCATAAAACTTGAAAACATGATGAGAAACTAGACTTAAATCTTTGAGAAAATGTCAAAGCCAGCATGTCATCTGGCAAGACAGGAGTGGTACAATCTTGAAGAGCTACAAATTCACAAAAGGGATGACTTGAGATAGCTTCATCAAGCAAAAAAGAAATCCACATTTTATATTAAAGCCACTATCAACATCACTTCAGAATTTACATTTTCTTAATGAAAGAATCTGAACTGAGCAGACAGACATTTTACTCCAGGTTTTAGCTGAAACATCCACATTAAAATAACTGCATATGATTTTTAAAGATAATAAAGAATGAACAGATGAATGGCATCCTCTGGTAGAAAAGAAAAGCCACATGACAATTTACATACCTCTGCTTCAATATATGGAAATTCTGATACAAGTCGCACTCCAACAATAGGCCACCTTTTTCCGGTCACACTTGCCATTTTGGCCACCTCAAAAGCCTTGTCTCCGTAGGTGGCAGCAAGATGCTGTGCCACCTAGAGAAATAAAACTACATTAGGCAGGCACTTTGACTATTGATAACTTTCAGATACAAAGAAAAAAAGAAGTACATGCTCATCTTGTCAGTTTTCTTACAGCCTGTAACTAATAGTTCTCGGAGAGTATTAGGTTTTGGTTTTGTGGGAGGAAACCACTTGAGCTTCTAATGCTTAGACCAGCACTAACTGAGCTACTCATGCATCACTGTATCGATGACGGATGAAGCTTCAACTTCATTCTGCTCCTGATATCACTTCTGAAGAACAGCTTTGGATGAAAGAATTTGGGAGGCTCTCTATGCTAGGAACAAACCAAATGAACTCCAGGTTTCAAAACAGAATCTAAAATGTACATTGTTTTCTAGGCAACTGTAGGAAAGTGGAACCATCTTTTTTCTTAGATTACTTTTGCAGTACAGAGAGAATCATATCCAGGGAAAGGAAAACTGTAAAGCAGAGAGGCCACATCATAGTTGCAGATTATGTTACTGGCAATAGTAGGAGGTGAGGTAAAGGATAAAGACGTGGCAATGCATACTCACCTCACTTTCAAGTCCATAATCCTGGACAAGCCTAATGTAGAGTGTGGGGCTCCAATCTTTCCCTCCTTGAAGGAAAAGTCCAACTGTTCTACTTGGTCCTGCTTTCAAATTGTGGATCTTGATAGCAGCATTCACAGTATCTTCTGCCATGGATCGATATGTTGTCCACTTTCCACCTACAAAGAAGTTCATAAAAAATTTATGATAGTTTCCACCTTTATTTTTCTTATTAACAATTTATCAACATATTAATAACAAAATCTACCATTTTTTAGAACATACGTGGCAAAGCTATGTGTAAAGACTAATCAGAATCATAAGAAGAAAACACTTGTTCATTAGAGCTAAAAGATAGTTTCGTGGAACAATTTAAGTCAAGCTTTTATTTAAATCATATCCAAATAACAAAGCAATGTCCCATACCTGCTATAGTGATAAGGCCACTCTCACTGATGTCCACAACATGATTGCGGGAGATGGACTGGGTGTCTTCGGACTTGGGATCTGTCACGAGGGGGCGGATACCGCTCCATGCTGCCAGGACATCCCCTCTTCTCACTGGTAGGGATTGATACTATGGGTTACTCAAAAACATTTCTACTAAAGTATGAAGTAATTAACAAGTAGAAAAATATTCAGCAAATGGCACATATGGGGGTGCACTTTAAAAGGGAGGAAAAAAGCCCTAAATGTAGGAATTATAATATTGGACCAGTGCAATAAAAACTCAGAAAGAATTAATTATTTTGTTACTAGGATAATTTAACTTAAAACCAAAACCAAATAAAACCAAAAAGGTAAATAACAACAACAAAACTATTAGGAACCCTCTATCTAGGGCAACCTAGAGCAGTTAAAGGGGTAAAAAAAAAAGTAGAAACAAACAAAAAAATTCAAGAGACTTATGAATTGTTAAATTTCCTACTACAATACATTTTGCTGTCTCTTCTTAGAGAAGACAAAGATGCTTATTAAATTAAACAAACAAGCATATAACAGGATATTTTCTTCTCTCATCAATACCACTCACTGAGAATTTACAGCAGACCCAGCACTCAGAAAAATACCTGAAATACACATCTCATCTTATTAATCTCACAAAGCCCCACAGCACAGAGTATTACTATTCTCACCATACAGAATGCAAAGTTTAGCCAACCAAATATGGCAACCAATGTGAGCAAGGCAAACATCAGAACCTAGATCTTTCTGATTTTTAAAGTCCATATTCGTACCCACTCAACTGTACTGTCTCAATTGCTGACAAATTTCAAAACTCTACCCTTATTTTATTCATCCTGTTTTCTTTATAACTGATACAGAAATAGCTATATTGGCTTCTCCCAGTATAGACAGAGTACTTGCATTACCACATACGTAAGTTCTTTCAGCAATCAACATGTCATAAAATCACCCCTAGTACCTCTGTAAATACAATGTATGATACCAAGAATTGAGGGACATTAGATTAAAATTAGACAGCCGCTGAATAGCAAGCATTTCTAACCTAAAAATGGCTGAGGAGAATAGATCAACTGTGGTCTGGTCTACCAGCAGGGCAGGGGCAAGACCCAAAGGCAGGGTTTTCAGAATCTACCCTTCTACATCTAGATTATCTTCAGGGATTGCTCAGCTCTTTTTTCTTCTACAGCAAGGATGCGACTCTACATGCACCAACCCAAAAACTGCTTAATGATGTAGACTACAGAAAATTTAACATTTGCCTTGTCCTTCCTACTGCACTTACAATGGTAAATCAGTTAATCCATTTCTGGATAATAGACATTTAAGTACAACTTTGTGTTATCTGTGTGTCTTGGAACTCCTTCTCCAAACTCCTGGCCGTTATCCATATTGATAAAATACCAACTGTAAATACTCTTGAAACTCAAGATTTTAAAACACTGTGAAAACATATATGCAAATTGGTGACGTCAAACTCAACTTTATACCATGTACAAAAATTAACTCAAAATGGATCAAGATCTAAACATAAGAGCAAAACTATAAAACTCTTAAAAGAAACATATGATAATATTTCATGACACTGGGTTTAGCAAGAAATGCTGCTTTCTTGGATATGATATCAAAAGTACAGACAACAAAAGAAAAAATATATATAAAAAGACTTTGTCAAGGGCTGGGGTTGTGGCTTAGTAGTACAGTGCTTGCCTGTCATGTGTGAGGCACTGGGTTCAATTCTCAATACCCCATATAAATAATTTTTTTTTTAAAAAAAGGTCCATTGATATAACACACACACACACACACACATATATATTAAAAATCTTTGTCAAAATTAAAAACTTTGGTGTATCAAAGGTACTATTAACAGAATGAGAAGGCACCCCACATAATTAGAAAATATTTGCAAATTATATATCTGAAAATAGTCTAATATAAAGAATATATAAGGAAGTCCTGAAACTCATAAGAACCTAAACTAAAAAATGGTGAAAAAAGTGGAGTTGACATTTCTCCAAAGAAGATATACCAATGTTCAACAAGCATATGAAAAGATACTCAACATTACTAATCATTAGGAAAATGCAAATAAAAATCATATACCATTTCACACTCATTAGAATGATTATCAAACACAAGCAAAAAAACAAAAATAAAAAAATAATTATTGGTAAGGATAGGAAGAAATTAGAAAACCTGTACACTGCTGGTGAAAAGTAAAATATCATAGCTGCTACAAAAAATGTATGTCGATTCCCTCCAAAAATAAAACTTTTAAAATTACCACATGATCTAGCAATTATACTTCTGCACACCCATGTTCAATAGCACTATTCACAAAAGCCAAAGGGTAGAAGCAAACCAAGGGTCCATCAACAGATAAATAAAATGTGGTACACACAATGGAATATTGTTCATCCTTAAAAAGGAAAACAATTCAACCACATGCAGCAAAATGGATGAACCTTGAAGACGTGATGTTCAATAAATAAGCCAATCATAACAGGACAAATATTGCATAATCCCACTTATACAAAGTACTTCAGAGTGCTTGAACTCACAGAGGAAGCAGGTAGAATGGTGGCAAGTTAAACTTATTTTATGTATGTATAATATTTCAAAATATACTATCATGTTAATTTTTTTTTATTTCAAAAAAAAAAAAGAATAGTGGCTTCTTTTTTTGAACCAGGAAGTGGAGCAGGGTAATGGGGCATTAGTGTTTGAAGGGTACAGAATTTCAGGTTAGGAAGATGAAAAAAAAATCTAGAAATGGATGATGGTGATAGCTGTACAGCAATGTGGATGCCCTTAATGCTAGAGAACCATACCCTAAAAATGGTTAAAATGGTAAATATTATGTTCTATAGATTTAACCACAATTTAAAACTGATGACAAAGGATAAGTTGATGCAATTCAATTTCAAGTATGAGAAAGTTAAAAAAATTAAAATAAAAAAGTTTACCTAAGTATCAGGACCTCTACAAGCCTACATAATGGTCATGTCTTAGTTCAAATTAATAAATGCCTTGCAGGGAGCATAGATTTGTGAGCAGAGGGTGGCTGGATTGGAAGTCCTTCTTCCCCCTTGGCCATGCACCCTTGCACAGTAAACACTCTAGTTTCTATACACAGCACAACCTGAAAAGCAGTTAGGTTTATATCCACTAGACTCTGTTTAAAGAGTCACAAAGATTCCTTGAAATGATTGGGATAGTCCTAAAACTAAATGTACCTTTCTGGAGAAAGGCTCTAGAAACAAGTTATACTGAATGACAGATAATCTCCTCATCTGAACATCCAATAAAAATAGTAAAACAAACTAGTAAAGAAAACCAAAGTAAATCCAGCATATTTTAATGTAGTTATTTTAGGGCTATACCCTTAAAATGACTGTCAGCTGAAGGACAAGGTGCCCACACACCACTTCAGGAATGTTTAATCAATCCCATAGCCAACACTGAAACTGAAACAAGGGAAGAAAGGACAGAATCAACTGGTTAGGCTTCCCAGTCTTGTTAACTGGGGACCATAAAGCATGCCCATGCATTCTCTACAAGAGCTTTAATTCTAACGGCTTCTATGGACTAGGAGTTAATTCCTGCTTTATGCAACTCTATAAGTCTTTAAAAACCTCAACACAAATAGTGCAAAGTATTTTAAAATCTTTACAAAAAAAAAAAAAACTAAGTAGGAAATTACTACTATTTTCCATTAGAGTTCACATCCCCTTCTGAGTCAAACATAAAACTTAGCCAACCCACTTACAACGTCATTGTGGTCACCACACAGTCCCCTCAATGTCTGTGAAATTCCTGAGGTAGCCACACTGATCAGGAATTTGGTTTCAACTCTTGAATTCCTCTGACTAATTTTTAGATTATTTGATGGAAAATTAAGACCTTCCAGAATAAATTTGAAGCTTATGCAAATAATCTGTGGTAAATTGCTTTACCTTTTCTATTTTAACAGGCAGACAAACACATTTACATATTTGTATTATCTGAAAGAAGAACGATATATTCACATTTTTCATTCATAAAGGAAAAAGAAATAAAACATTAAATATACTGATTCCATTTTATTTATTTATTTTTTAATTTTTTAGATTCCATATGCTTTTTTAAAATTTTTTTTAGTTGTCGATGGACCTTTATTTAATTAATTTACTTATATGTGGTGCTAAGAATCGAACCCAATGCCTCACACATACTAGGCAAGCACTCTACCACTGAGCCACAACTCTAGCCCCCTGATTCCATTTTAAATCCTTATTTCTGAAGTTGACCCCCAAAGAAAACAAACCAACCACTACTAGAAAGAGTTCACAAATGTGTTAAAAACTACATTTTGCTTGAGATCTTAGAATTCAGTTCTTTAGTCTGAGAATCATACCAGACGAGTGTTGGGATTACCTTTACTCAAAAAGACGCATTTTAAGGATAATAAAATTTTATTTAAAATATTAATCAGTTTTTATGGCCTACTGTTTTATATTATTAGACCAGTAGATAGTTAGAGATCAGGTTATATATCAGTTCCTTCCCAATCTTGAGATTTAACAATTCATATGGATTATTCAAAATGCTATTTGCTGCTGACATTCAAACTTGTACCTCCCCACCACTCCTATTCAGTAATGACTGGTTAGGGCCATAGCTATTATTTAAGGTCATGGGGCCCAGCTAAAAATGTGAAACACTAATTCTAATCCCTTAAATAAAAATAGCAACTATCCAAACTAACAGATTTCTCTCTTTACAGCCTCTTTATCCATAGTGGAAGCCCTATATAGTGTTCAACCTAAATAAAGTTTACTCAAGAAGAGATTCAAAAGCAGTAGACAGGGAAAGAATCATTACTGTATCTTTTAATTCTTCCTGGAGCTGTTGCAGCCATGTTGTAACTATGGGGGAAACCTACTTGGAAGTGGTAGAATAAAGAAAAATAAGGGTCATGCATTTTAAATATAGCTGAATCACTTAGATATACTAATCTCCTCTGAAATATTCTTACATCTGGAGTTCTTTTAAAAGTTACTTAATTTTTTTGTCTCATTTAACAACTAAACCCCTCCACTAATTCAGTAACT